GCCCTACAGCCTGGACAAGGACAGCCTTTATGTCAACAGTAAGTTTTTTTTTTTCCTCTTTTCCTTTGTTATGTTTTTAACTATTTCTTTGCATAGTTATTTTTAAGTGTTGTATTTGAAGCCATATTATCTTGATCCTCTGAGATATAATACTCCCGTATTCTTTTTAGGACCCAGGAGTTTTAGTTATTCATGCTGGGAAGCAGCGATTTTATCCTTGTAGTAATAATGGCACCACTTCTGAATGTTATTTCTCGTTCAATATGTAGCTGACTTCAAAACAACGGTTCCCTGTAGTATTGCAAGAAGTAACTGGTTTGAAATAGGATATATTTTCCTTCTATGGAGTCTGTCATCTGTACATGTGTCTCTGAACTAGCAACCTAATCCTTATTTCCTTCTTTTTACAGATTACCATGACGCCATTGTTGTGCCCTGTAAGTACTTTAAGCGATTATAAAGGGATCATGCCTTCATCTCTCTGTACAAGCAATACAGAGATGAATTCCTGATGTAGCTCTTCCCTTTTTTGTCTCTTTTCACTTTACTAGAAGTAATAATATGTTGGACATGATTAACAGGGAGAACAATCTGCTACCAATTACAGTTGTTAACATAACACACTTCATTCAAATATTTCACAAAGCATTATTTCTTCCTGGAAAAAGACTTGAGTTAAATAAGAGCTTCTCCAGAGTTGTTACTGAATTAAATCTTATGCCCTGTATTACAAGAGATGTCAGAGGAGATGATATGAGGAGACCTGTTTGCAGAAAAACATAGCTACACCCACAGAATCATAGAATCATAGAATGCTTAGGGTTGGAAGGGACCTCTAGAGATCATCTAGTCCAACCCCCCTGCATACGCAGGGACACCTAAAGCACGTGGCACAGGACTGCATCCAAGCGGGTTTTGAAGATCTCCAGAGAAGGAGACTCCACAACCTCTCTGGGCAGCCTGTTCCAGTGCTCTGTCACCCTCACTGTTAAGAAATTTTTCCTTAAGTTCCTATGGTTAGAGAGTAGGTTAGAGAAGGTTAGAGAGTAACTAGTGTTGACATGCTGTTCCAAAAGCAGCTTTAGAAAATGAAAAGGCCAGAGATTCAAAGACCTACATGGAGTATCAAGCTAGTGTGCTTAGAGATTTTTTACTGAGTAGGTTAAAAGGTGACATCAAGTTAACTTCAGTTCCTCAACTGAAGTTTTTAGATACATGTTTAGAGCCTGATCAGCTAGGAGTGGCTTTCTATAACAATCTAGGTGAGGTGTAGAGCCTTCAGCTGCTCTACAGCTAATGTTCCACACTGCTGCTGGCATCATCATTACCACTCCATGCTGTGTTCAGTGTAGTACACATCTCTTCCAGCAGAAAGAAACTGTTGAATCTGTTAAAGACAGGAAGTAAAAAAAAAAAAAAAAAAAAAAAAAAAAAAGTGTTTGCTTTCTATTCAAAACACAATTTTGTGCCTTTTTTTTTTCCAGCAACATCTCCAGTTCCTCCTTTCGCAAGGATAAAACATTTCACAATGAACTTCACAATAACCAATCTCCTTTACAGACCAGCCCTAGGAAACCCAAATTCTAAAAAATTCAATGCTACAAAAAACAGTCTGACATATCTGGTGAGCATCAGTAAGGTTCTTCCTGTGGCTGTTTAGCGTATTTCTTTTTATTATATTTTCACTGATTTTTTATTTTTTATTTTTTGGATAGCTTGACCGTGTGCTGAAGAACACCAGCATTAGCCCTGCTTACACTGGTTGCACAGTGCTGACACTAAGGTATGGGACATGTCCTTGAGGACAATGGGAATTCAAATTTTGGCTGACAACAGGATTATACAGAGATCTTTGAATAGGATTATACAGAGAGCATGTAATTCCTTTCTGCTTCCACTTCTTCCTAACTTGATAGATTCTGTTAAACTCTTGAGAGTACTGAGAAAAATGATGGGGCAGAGGGTTCACACATAAGTTCTTTTGCATTAGCTAAAAAGTCTAATGCGACTAATTTTATATCCAGTTCAGTTAAATCATAAGAACACTGTTCTAATGGTATAAAACAGAATGAATACTGCATTTCTAAAATTTGATGGCATGATTTCTTAAAATAGTGTTGTTTTACAGTATTTTAAAAAGAAATTCAATTCAACAGTAGCTACTGTGCAAGCAAATTCAAACACACACATGCAGGTGCCATTGAGGCTGTAAGTAAACATGTTAATTTCCAGATCTTTGAAGAACAGAGAGGACACTAGCATGGATGCGGTCTGCACATACAGAACCAACACAACCACGACCACTACTAAATTTGATCGAGTCATGATTTATCGTGAACTCAGCAATATGACCGCTAGCTGCACTAAGCTTGGACCCTACGAGCTGGATGCAGCCAGCTTCTATGTTAACGGTAAGGGGGATCCTTTGACTGCTAATTTGGTAGTAGCTGGATGGAGAAACTGAATAAACACATAACCACAGAAACAACAGTAGTACCTACATGTCTTGTCTCAGTCACTGAGTTGTGTTTGAACGTTTCACCTGATTTCTGTATACCACCAGTATGTATTTCTAAGCAACGACATGTATTTTCCTCATTGCAGTCTTCACTATTATAACACCACCCTGTGTTTAGTATTTCATTTGTTTAATAAATTCACACAGGGACTGGTTCTGGTGATTCATTCTCCAGTCATCTGTTATCCCCTCTTCTCTTTCATTCTCTAAATGTATCATGCTCTTATGTAACGATTCTCTTGCATTTCCTTTCCAGGTTATAATGAACCACTTGAGAGACTGTGTAAGTGTTTTGTCACTCATTCCTGTGAAAGCTGTCAAAGGAGTAGTGCACTCAGAAAATGAGAGGGGAATAGATTCTTGAAATCTGCTAGCCTTGAAATTTGCTAGTATTGGGAATCTTTTTTAAAGAGAATTTGGCTTTTTATATAGCTAAGTTCATAATCCTTCTCCTCTTTGATTGTAGCTCTGAGCTCAACAACCAAACCAAGCCCCATATCCAGGCATTTCACGCTTAACTTCACCCTAATCAACCTTCCATACACCGCAGACCTGGAAATACCGAGTACCCGCAGGTTTATTTCTACAGAGAAAGTTATTAACTATTATGTAAGTCTGGCTCTGGTTATGACCAGTTTGTATTATGCTGATGGCTTGTTCTATTTGCATTAAATTCAGGACAAACTTTTAAATTCTCTCTATTTTTTTTTTCTTCTCCTGACAGCTTAATCCTCTTTTTAAGAGAAGCAGCATAGGCCCTGTCTACACAGGATGTAGAGTGATGAGATTCAGGTAAGAATCTTAAAAGGAAGGTAACCCTACCACTATCTGCTTTTATACACCATAGACTGGTAGTTACTATAATTCTTATGCCAAAAATGGATGCTAGGAACACCTTCTTGTCCATCTGTCTTGCTTTCCCTATCTATCAGAATTATAGCTTAAAAAGGTCAAAAATCTATCCTCTACATGTGCCCAATAAGTAAACGAACAAACTTTTCCTTGCTGAAAAAGTATTTTTTGCATGTAGACGTTGCTACCACAGTTCTTTAATATCTTCTCAAAGAATTAGGAGATTGATTGTGCTAATAGCTTTCCCACTCATAAATTACACAAGGCATTCTGTAACATTCTTTAAACATCAACAGTATCCCTAACAATGCATCTGACATTTCTGCATAGGTCTGTGAAAGACAGCGATGACACTAGCCTAGACGCTGTCTGCAGCTACAAAAACAACAGCAGCATTGCCACCTTTGACAGAGAAAAGGTTTATGAAGAGCTGAGCAACATGACAAAAGGTGTCACCAAACTAGGGCACTACAGCTTGGAGAAGAACAGCCTGTATGTCAATGGTAAGTATCTGTAAATAAAATCAAAATACCACTTTGGAGTCACTCGGGGTGGAAAAGTGAGGAGCGAGCCTCATTAGGGTTTGAGACTTAATGTAGTTTTCCTCTGGATTATTGGGATTCCACAGCTTTTGGCATTATGACATAACCAAGCCCTTTTGAAGGAACCCTTAAATCACAAATTCCATATGAGAAAGAACATCTTTACTGTGAGGATGACAGAGCACTGGAACAGGCTGCCCAGAGAGGTTGTGAAGTCTCCTTCTCTGGAAACCTTCAAAACCCTCCTGGATGCCACCCTGTGCCACATGCTGTAGGTGTCCCTTCATGAGCAGGGAAGTTGGACTAGATGATCTCCAGAGGTCCCTTCCAACCTCAACCATTCTGTAATTCTGTGATAATTCCCTTTTTGTATTCATATAAACTAAACAAGGATCTAGGCATATTGCATTTGTGGTGTGTGTATAGAGCTGATGCAAAAAGTTATAGTCAATTTTTTTTTATTTAGGTTTCCACCTCACAGGTATCACTAGAAAGCCTGCCTTAAGTGAAGGTCCAGCCAAATTGGGCTACAAATTCAGCTTTAGAATAATTAACGAAAATCTAACTAACCCAGACTCCCAGTCATCAGAATACAAAGCTGCAGTGGAAAGCATCAGTAACAAGGTAAGAAGCTGCTGTTCACAAATCACTGTAACTGCACCATATAATCAGTGTCTGAACACTAATACCTTCCACCTCAGAGATCAGCATAAATGTAACTCATTGGAGAAAGTCCAGTGCAGGTCCTCTTCAGCACCAATCCACTAAACTATCAATCTGCTAGTCACCTGCCCTAACGAGGCAGGTTTTGGGGGTTTGGGTGTTGTTTCTTCTTCTTCTCTTAAAGCCATAATCAAATCCTTTTCACATGAAGCCATTCCATATTTTGAGTTCTGAATCTGTTTCGTCCATGGAATACGAATCAAGATAACAGCTACAGACAGCAGAAAACACACTTTAATAACAACTCAAATAAGGGCCACCAAGTTGGAAGTCAGATTCCAGCACAAGAAGGCATATTCTGAAATAAAAGCCATCTCCCATGATGATGGGAGATGCCTATTAGCAGAAAAAAACTTTTTTTTTTTCCTCGAAAGTTAGAGGCCCTCTTGCTGCCCTGAAGCATCCACCATGAGGTCCAGAACTCTAATATTAAAATAAGATTTTTATTTCAGATGAACCAACTATATCATCAGAGCCACCTGCAGAATTACTTCCAAAACTGCACTGTCACAAAGCTGAGGTTTGTTATGCAATTTGATTTTGAATTTTATTTTCCAAAGACTATCCAAGTCATTTGCAGGCTTCCTGGAGTTCATCAGAGATGTTGTTCTGGCTTGGTGGGCATTGACCGTTGTCACTGCTGCACAGCTGACACTGAATATTTTAGAGGATCTTAAGTATACTTTAGAACTGAAGCTTTTATTCAGTTTCAAACAGGATTTTTATATGGATTTAGGGGGATTTTGGCAGTCTATTAGGCCTCTTCAAATGTCCCTGTAATTACTAATTGCTATGAGCAATCTTATCACAAGAATGAAGACTGAATGGTGACGATGCAAACTCCCCCATCCTCTTTCAGATGAAGGCTCTGCAGGGTATTAAAGGGATGTTGGGTATATCTAATGTCCTGCTCTAGATGGAAAAGAATTTGGACAAGAAACCTTACAGCAAGACAAAATTTTAGAAGAAAGTACTGATCATTCATTCTATACATGCAGCGTATTTATTACCTAAGTTTGCACAGAGAAGAGGTAGTGGTACTCCATTTGCCATACCCGGCCTAAAGAAAAGCCCCAGTCTATTCCACATCTCTCAGTAGCACCACATTAGATAAAATACTGTCTAACACACAGAAATCAGAAGCCCCTAGGAAACTGTCCCATGTGAAGAGGCACGCTGATCATCAGATAGCCCAGTTATTTCAGAGCCTCTGTTTCTCTCTCCACAGGATTGGATCCATAGTGGTCGACTGCAGGTGCTTCTTCCAGCCAGATCCCAGCATCAACAGGGTTGTGGTTGAAAGGGCTTTTCAGGATGGGACTTCACGTGAAACCGGGCTATGGCTGGGAAGCAGTTACCAGCTGGAAGGATTCTCAATAGACAGTATGTAAAGCTCACAGAAGAACATAAATGCCTAGTTTCTGCCCAGTTTAAACCATTTTGTCATGGCATACTCAGAATTACCAACTTTCTGGTCTGTTGATGGGTAGGGGCACTATGTTCCCCCAACTGAATCACTGAACTCAAGCCAGTATTGGGCTCCTCCTTTGCCAGATTCAGTCTGGGTTAGTCCAGTCCTTGAGTTCACAGTTTCAGGGGTTATTATATACTAGAACAAGGAAGCAATAACTACTTATTATAATTTCTAAAGTCTGTTCATGGCTCAGAGTTTGCTTTTTTTTCCCCCCTCAGATGTACATGTTCACAAAGAAAGCACTAGTCTGATAAATTGCTGAAGAACATAGAATGTAGATTGCACTGGGAACTGACACCCCTTTGAAAGCTGTTTCTCTCCTAAGACTTTGTGTTTTTCCCAACCTAAAGTTCACCAAGCAACACTGATTTGCATAAAAGCCTCTGTTTCTCTTTGCTAGAATTTATATTCCACTTTTCCCCTTTATCTCCAGACTTAGAACTAGCAATCGAGGCAGCAACTCAGAGAGCACCCCTGCAATCCCAGACAGGAAACTTCAGATTAAACTTCATTATCACCAACCTTCACTACTCTCCAGAACTGCAAAGCTCCACATCTCAGATGTTCCAAGTGAACAAGGAGAAGATTGAAAAGGAGGTAAAAACAAATAACAATAGCTTGGACTGATTTCTCTGTTAAGTTTAAAGATATATCAGATTCACTCATTTTGCTTACTTTTGTTTGATCCCATCAGCTGGAAGTATTCAGAACTAGCAGCCTGAAGGATTACTTCGTTGGTTGTACTGTTGAGAGCTTTGGGTATGTCCTGCCCCATAGGCAGTTTTTCTCCTGTCCTAACAGAATATTTAGCAGAAATGGCACTATGAGCTGCAGCATGATGTTTATGCCTCAGTGACATCTTTGTTTAATGACACATAGGAGACACCTTCTCTCACTCTCAGTTTTACCTTTACCGCAGAACGTTTATGTCCAAATAGTAGGCGTTTGTGTGTTTTTCACTGCATTAGCAAAACTATTTTCAAGTATAAGCAAATAAGTAAAACAAGTGATCTCATTATCTCACTTATTCAAACAAACTAAAACTCAAATAGAATAGAAAACAACCACAAGAACTGATCAGCTTGAGTACAAAACCTGCCTTTTTTTTTTTTTTTTTGGTCTTCTCTGGCATCTCTTTGGAGGAACAAGCAAAGTCAAATGACTTATCTCTTAGAAATGCCACGCCCAGGATTAACTTAGTGCATGAATTTCATAATGGCACACAGCAGTGCCTTCCATCTAACGTAAACTAAAAATTGATCCTATGCTAATAAAACATTGCTCACACATCTGCATGACCAATGCCAGTGCCAAATACCTTCCCCAGTGCTTCTCCATTGTAACTATTCCTCAGTTCTGCACTAGGTTTCTCTTGTCCTGTGACAACAGCTTTGGTCTTCATCCTCCAGGCCTGTCCTTGGGAAAGCTTACACAAGTGTTGCTTCCACCTGTACATTCACGCTGGACACCTCCTCGAGGACCTTACAGAAGGAAATTGTATATGAGGAGCTGACACGCTTGACACAAGGATTCACCAAGTTGGGTTCCAGCTACCAGCTGGAAGAACATAGTTTGGTTGTTGATGGTGAGTACTGCTAAGATGACTTGAACTTTTGTTAGTTTTGCTTTAATGACTTCAAGTGCCCTATTCCCCACCTGTCCCACCTTTTCTTTTCCAGGTTACTCTCCACTCAAAACAGTTGAGCAGGAAAGATATGGTAAGTGCTTTCACACAAGCATTCACCCTAAAGCTCCTGAATACTTGTTGAGCTACACTAAATTAGTATAACATACCTTGAAAAAGTGACTGGACCAGTGGCAAGAACACAAAGGTTTAGGATTTCTAGGAGAGGATTTCTAGGGCAGCAAACAGCAGGGACCAGGGCCAGTGAGTCTGTAGAAACCCTAACTGACTGGCAGGCAAAAGCATGGGGATTTGGAAAGCTCTAGCACCAGTAAGTTTCAATTTCTTCAGTATTTACAAAAGCAAAGAAACAAAAGCAAAACAAAGAGTGATACAAACAGCACCAAGTACAGCCACAACCCTCAGAACTAACATTCAACAAAAACAAACTGCAAATAAGCATTGCTTTTCCATGAATCAGGAACACCCTCACAAGTAACTACAGCTGATTTCCCAACACCCTTAGCCCTCTCCCCTCCCTGACAGAGGATTAGTCAGGAGCTGAGAATGACCCTTGTACTCTCTGAACAGCCCCAAATCCATCCAAAGACTCTAATGCTAATGTGGTGGTACTTAGCGTATCCTTGCACCCTCACTCTGTTCCACCAAAACTTCTGCTCATCCTTGCATCTTCACGCTACTGGGACTCAAATGCCTGTAGCCAGGAAGGTCAGATGCTTTTCCAGCAATTTCACCTCACTTGTGTGATATATAGTGGTTTTGTACTTTGACAGGTGAGAACTCTCAATGTCCCATGTGCAACAGCTACAAGCCAAAAAAATGATGTGCCTCAATTTTGTTTTTGCAGAGCTTTCATACTGGGCAATTATCCTTATCTGCGTCTTTGCACTGATTGGTTTCATCCTCCTTCTCCTGTTGTGCTTCCTGGTAAGTGACCCCTTTGCTCTCGCACCCCTTGCTTTTGACTACTGCAACATCCAGCAATCCAAGTAGTTGCAGAAGGGACTTTCAGACACACATTCTCCCAGGAGTCCAGGCCGTAGCAGTACATCACATGCACTGTAACATCAAATGCTGTGCCAAATTCTCTTTCAGTTACTGTTACCTCTTTCAAGGTCTTGTGCACAGAAGCACACTTGGTCCACTAAGAAGATTTCTAGGGAAGGAGGCAGTGGGCCATGAGTGAGATCCAGTCCTTTACAGAGGGGGGAAACATGAAACTGAGATAAGACAAACCCCAAGATCATAAATAGGTTGAGTTAGAGGACTTATAAAATCTGTCTTAAACCTTCTTATCCTGCACAAATTTCTGCAGGATGACCAGGTTACAGATAACAACTTAGAAGAAATGTTTTTAATAACCTATACGTGACAGGAATTGTACTGAGAATTGTGTTCATGGCTGATGACATGGAGGCTGTAGCAGCCCTGCAGGGCCAGACTCCAGCTGTATCTCTTTGGAGAGGGCAGAGCAGATCCTCTTCTGTCTGGCACTTATTTGATGGGGGGAAAAATATTTTACTAGCACTGTTTCAGCAGTAGCTGTGTTTGGGTCATACCACATGGAACAGAATGGACAAATCCATAGAGAATATAGACTGTTATCCTTGGAGGTTCAAAAGAAAAGAAATACAGTAAGATTTAGGAATCAAAACCAAAACACAACAACAACAACAAAAAATTCAAATTGAAAATCAGTGACTGTGCTATTGACTGCCTATGCAGCCTTAGGCAAGTGCCTTCTTTAATGCCAAGTTATCTCATCTGTCAAATGGGGGAGCCTCTCCACATAGTGAAGTATTTTGGGACCCTCTAATGAAAGAGAAAATTCAGACCTGGTGTTCGGCAATTAATAGTGTTTATTTTCCACCAGATTGTCTTTTGCCTAAGAAGAAAGTCAGACCTGTACCAGGTTCAACAGAGTATGTATGGGGTGTATTTCCCACATCTGAACACAAGAAAAGTGCATTGACGTAACAGCTGAGGCCTGTTTTCACAGACCAGTTCCATTCATAGATGAAGGAAAGATGTTTACAACTACCAGGAAAATGTTTCTTCTCTAATAAATTATATTTAGCTTTTTCTCTTATCTTGATGCAAGCTTGCACTACTACAAAAAACTACTTTTATTCTATGGGAAACTGCCAGCACAGCTGTGGGGGAAGATTTTTTTTAAAAGCCCTGAAGTATTTTTATATTAATATTATGCAACCAACAGAAAACAAAGACTGCCAGCAGTTGCAGTTTGCAGGGCTGTTCAGTGTTAATGTTAGTTTTCTGGAAAGGGCTTAATCATGCTAGTTTACAGATTTTCGGGATTGACTACTGTAAATTAAAAACAAGATAGATCACTTAGACTTTACCCTTTTTTCCTGGTTTATCTAAAATATCTATTTTAAGTTGATGAAAATATTTTATATTTAATATGCCAAGATTATTTAAAGATACCTTGTTAGCTATTGAGTGTGACATAGCACCTTGTGTTCTTTTAAGATTGATACCAATTTCAGTCAAATAAATGTCAGATTTATTGCTGTGAATAGATTCCTTTTGTTTCTCTATATCAATGTTTCATCCCAATTGAGAAAAGATTTCTGCTCTACGATAATCTCTGAAGCTTCACCTCCTCAGTGGTCTCACTGAGATCTCCCCATCAAGATGTAGGGCCCAGTGTTGCTTTGGAGATCATTACCTTTCCACGATCCCTCTGAACCCTGCTGCACTGGACAGATGTGTCCAAGAACTCAGCACCTATAGCGTGCCCCAATCTTCTGCAGAGCATCTGGATGTTCTTGCAGAAAAGGTATGTTCAGGTCACAGGGAAACTGCTGGATCTCAAGCCTCTTAGAGCCACATGTTCCGAAGACAAGCAAAGTCTTCAGGACATGTGGTACAAATGCCACATTGGGACAAACATTTTGGGACAAAGTGCCAGAATTTTCCAGGGAAAATGCACAGTAAGACTCACACCAACTCCATAAGAGCAGTTGGGCATCTTAATGCAACATTTCAGCTCAGGAGATCTCTCACGAGAGCTGAGATCAGCTCAGGTGCAATCATTTGACAGTATCATTAGACAAACTCTTCACTCTGCTGAAAGGGAATGCACAGAACTGATGAAACCACAGTTAGTGGCTATCTTCCACTGCAGGCTATCTTTCCATGCAAACTTCATTTTTTCCTTTCAAAACAAGACTGATTGCCAGGTTGGTTGCATTCATCTCCCAGATCAGATTCCTAAGCATAGACAAGAATTTCCAATCTGGAATATTAGAAACCTGTTTGCTTGACCAAAGGTTAACAAACATCCAGTATTATGTCTGTAATGTTATCTGTAAAAGCTTTCAGAGCTGCTTGCAAAAGAACTTTGCAGGTTTTTATACTACAG